TGAAACAGATCCGCTGTGTACTGGGACAAATGCTGTCATGTTTCCTGGCTTATAAAATCTATCAATCCCCAAGATGAGAACTCTGGTTTCTATTATAGACAACATCTCAGATTGAGATAGGATTTTCCAAACTGCCACATAAAAATAAAATATACATATAAAAAATAAACTTACATAACTTCTAGGTCTTTTCTTTGAGATGTTAGAAATGTTACTCAAGGAAAATAATTGAATGTTTTAAAATAATTATTTCTATTGCAAACAAGTGGTGTACATCTTAAGAAAAGTTTCTACTCTTAAAGGAAATTAGCAAAAGAACTTCCTAAATTTACATCAATTGACAATAAAATTTAACTGAAATTAAAAATACAGTGAATTAATCTTCACTGAAAGCAATGAATTTGTATTTTGTATCAGATCATTGCTAACAAGCTTTAATAAGCAGCACTTTGGAAAAATTCCATCACAAAAATATTCACTGTTTCAAATATGCTTTCAAATTTCATAATTATCTACTACTGTGGCTTTGAATGGTAGAAACACAGAGCTGACTCAGATACTGAGCTTTTACTGAGATTTTTAACCTGATAGCATTGTAAAATCCTCTTTATTTAAGAAATTTATGATGAACTTCAGAAAATATTTATTTGGAAAAACTGTAGCAGCATAAAATAAAATATGTTTGAATGAAACATACTTCATTATAAACTTCAATTGAGCAATTATTTAAGCTGGAGTGTTACTTGTTTCTTGGAAAAATGTGTATCCTAATCACAAGCAAAATCTTCAAGTTTATGTACCATTAAAGGAGAAAACATCAAAACTACCAAGCAATAGAATCAATGCATTGGTCTGTTTTGTTTTTTGTGGTTTTTTTCGAAGTTATTATTTAAGACAATGCTACAATGCATAGCTTGTAGTCTAGATAAGCAAAGTGACATATCTACCACTGAGGCAGGGAAGTCCTCTAAAACCTTTAAGGAGCAGAAAGGTGTCTTTAACTGAGGAGCAAACCAGTTGCTCACTTTGCTGTTATTATGAAGATCCATCTCTTACAGCAGGCTTCTAGGCCAAGAGGCAACAGCCTAGCAAGTTTTGTCAGTTGGAATACTTGGGATATTATGCATGTGTCTTTCATTTGGGCTATGCAGGTGTTCTGTACCAAGCGTCTGAAATGGTCTGCTCTGTTCCTTTGTAAGGATACTAGTACTTTTTTCAATTTCTGGTAAACTCTGGATATCAGTGACATTTTCCAATGTGTTGAAATGTACTGTTTTCATATACTGCATTATAATTTTCTTCCTTTGATTCACATGGGACAATGGTCTGTAGTGATGGTAGTACACAGAAAATAATTACCAGATTTTAAAAGAGATATTTTAAAACAGATATCTGAAATTGACATATCATCAGGTCAAGGACTGCCTCTAATTGAATGTTTATAAAGTGCTTAATATAATCAAGCCAGGAGCTGGTTGACTGCTATGCATGACACAGTCCAAATATTTAATAAGAGTAACAACAGTTCTGTAGTCAATTTGATCTTACTTTTGATATTTACAAGTGTTTTCCTAACACACATTGCAGATTTCTGGAATTTGAAGGGATTCAGGCTCAGATTCTCAATATATTTGATTCTATCATATCCATCTGCATCTATATCCATACAGACTGCAATGCGTACCCTACTCTGATACCACTATTGGGCAGTAACAGTGAGCACAGCTGTGGGAGGTGTGCCCAGGTAGAGGAACTGCTTCACTTAGTGAGTGACAGAGTTCCTGAAGAAGTGGGTAGGTTGAGGAATATCATAGAGAGTGAGAGAAAGAGACTACTGGAATTGCACCCTACCTTCTCTGAGACAGGGACACACAGGCAGACAGGGTACATGATATGGAGAATTCCCTGTCCTTTCTCTGCATGGGTGAGCACAGTAACTCAAGAGGTAGGCGATAACGGTGACAAGTTCCTTCATTGGTGCAGCAGGCCCATCTCATCTGGAACTGCTCCACCTTCCCAGGTGCCCCTATACAATAGATAAAAGGCTCTGGAAGTGGTACTAAATAATAATGAGGATGATGTTTCAGCTAGCATGAAGGTGTCACAAATTGAACTGTGCCCTATATCAAAACTGCTTCCAGGAAGAAAAAAAGAACTTGCCATTGTAACAGGAAAGTCCTTTTGGCAGAGACCAGAAGGCTTAATATGCAGACTGGACCCACTTCTTTGGAAAGCCTGATGCCTCCCTGAGGCCTGGGTGAACGATGTGAAGAGAAAGCTTCCTACCCTGGTACAGCCCTCAGATTACTATCCATTATTTATTTTTTAGGTAGGCAGTGATGAAATCTAAACAAGAAGTCTGAGGACAATCGAGAGACTTCAGGGCCTTGGGACAGTTGGTTAAGGGATCAGGAGGGAGATCAGTTAAAGAAGCAGGAAGAGTCAGCAGATCAATACCTGGCTCTGCGCCTGGTGCCACTGGAAGGATTTGGAGTTTTTTCATTATGGGTCTGTTTAAATGACGTGAGCCCTGCTGGTACCTGTGTCAAAATTTCTTCTTTGCCTTGGTCTTTAATAGTAAAAACAGTTGTTCTTGGAATACCCCATCCCCTGAGCTGGAGACATGGATGTGGAACAGAATGAAGCCACCATGATTGAAGAAGAAATGGTCAGGGACCTGGTGCACAACTTAGACAGAGACAAATCTGTGATGTCAAATAGGATCCACCCAAAAGTTCCTCCTAGGGGTAGTTGGACAGCCATTTCCACTTAGGTGACATACTGCACGCCTCAAAATAAGGTTTCTCATACTCTAGGACAGCTTCTACAGTCAGGAAGAACTATTCCCGGAAGTGGATACAATTAATTGGTTAAGGATTAAGAAGCTGTGATTTCTGACAATTATAATTTTTATGTCATTTAGTTAATTATTAGTGTGTGTATGAATAATCAGTTTTATTAATTTATATTAATTCATTCATACAAGTGGATATAAATATTCATTCATGGTTTTATGAATGATATAATTGTTGTACTTAAAATACAAGTGTTAATGATACTTTTCCTACAAGTTCCATTAGCTACTATATATGTGCATGATAATTTAGTAATGAATAAATCTATATGTTGGAACCCCAGAGCTTCCTTTTCCAGTCACTCCTTTATGAAAATGAATAATGCCTGTTTCTCTGTAAGACAATATTTTCCTACCTGAGACTTGGACCTAATCTTTAAAATTGTATCTGGGAGTCTCTCTTTGCTAAAACAGCATTAGAATATCTACCCACAAAAGCATATTTTGGAATAGCCTATCTCTTTGCTGGAACCTAATGTAAGCATGCTGCATTGGTGGGCTTCCAGTCCACACAATAATATGTTCAGAGACAATATGAAATTAACTGCAACCTGGTGACTACAATAGGGACTAGAAAATAAGGAATTCAGTCTGTATTTTCATTTAGCAGTATTTCTCTAACTTGGAATCACTATGATGTGCAATAGTACTTTTATACCTTAGGCTCTCTAACTGTTTTCTAACTGTGGTTTCAATGTGCTGTTCACAAGCATGCTAGGAGGCATAAAGGGACATTATTTACTAATTGATTTTCAAGAGTTGTCTCTACACATTTGTACAACCAATCTGCCCTGCCCTTGCTTTGGAGCTCTCACTCTGATTTTTATCATTCAGCAGACATGCAAGAAGAAGCAGAAGAGGGTGGGGTACAGTGCGTTTGCTTAAAGAGATGGAAAAAATGACGTTGCTCCTGTGTGAGAATACTACTTCATTCCTTATGAAAAGGCATTCCTGTGCACTGACAAAACTCAGCACCAGAAATAGTGAATCATAGAATTGTGGAATCATAGAATGGTTTTGGCCTGGAAGGGGCCTTTAAAGGTCATCTAGTTCCAACCCTCCTGCAACATCTTCAATCCTATTACTTTAGTTTGAAGAGGCAGTTCTTAAAGAACTTGTTAATAACTCACCTTCAAATTTTTATGTGTTCTTTACTACCATTTTTTCTTAGTGTTTATACTTAGTGTCATGCTATCACATATTTATATACTTCTGTGATTATAAAAGAAATGAATATAAGCTTATCTTTTTCAGTTCTTTCTGTGTGCAATGATGTAAACATCTATGTAAGTGGGCAGAACACTGGAGAATTAGACCAATATATAATACCATACCAAATTTGACAACTGCTTCCAGCTGCATAATTTCACAGAAGCTTTTATAAATAGATGGGTTTTGCAGGGAAAAAAATAAAAAGCATGACTCATTTTTAATTATAAGAGAGAATGCAAAGTACTTGCTTTTAGTAAAATTAAAAGAGAAGAGAAACAAAAGGTATTTATGAAATGTCAAAGTGTCATAAGATTAGAAGCATGACACTGAAAGCTAAGAGAAAAATCTAAGTAGGCTAGACAAAATCTTTTTTTTTTTCTAGAGTGTTTTTCTTTTGAAAAAAAAAGCCTACAAGGGTTTTTTTTAAGGTTTTTTTCTATAAACATTTGCTTCATTGTACTGATTCTCAGAATAGTAGGAATTGTTAGTTGAATGAATAAAATGATCGTGAAATAAATGAGTACAAACATACAAACACTAATTGTTGCACTAGAATGTATCTGTTGTCAACCTTTGCAGGTTGTCTTCAGTTGAACAGTTCCATTGGCCCCAAATGGTACTTACTGAACATTTATTTTTCATTTGTTTGGACCTCACCAGTATTACACAGGCAGCATGAGGGAATAATGAGCTGCATTCTTTAGGTTACTGAAGAGTCAGCACAAATTGTGGGAACAAATAACAATCAGACAAGGCAGTGTTTTATAACATCAGGACTGCAATCCATCTTTCAAAGCTGGGCTAATAAAGGCCCACTTACAATCCCCGGCAGAGTACAGTTTAATTAAATTTGTCCATTAGAGGACTCCTCCCCCTCCCTCTACATTTTAGAAATTAATTCCACTTTCTGCCTGTTGTTCTTTTTGCATCACAGATGCACTGAACCTTCGTAACCGACGCGTCCTCATCAGCACACTGAAAATCCTCCAGCACCTGGTGGCGTCAGCTGACATGGTGGGGGAGGCCTTGGTGCCTTATTATCGGCAAATTCTCCCAGTCCTAAACATCTTTAAGCATATGAACGGTGAGTTATCCTAACAGACACTGCCTTTCAACTCCTGAGGTAAAAAGGGGCTTGAGACAGGCTTAATTAACAATGTAGTTTAGATTTATTAGTGTATATAAACTCAAATCCATTTGGAGCTCTAAATAATGTAAACTCTCCCTCCTACTATTCCCTAAGGATGCACTGAAATTAACAATTTCATTTATTACTCCTTGCACGTACAGTTTATTTAACACAGTACAGAAGCACTGAAGCAGTTCTATAATCTCCCAATAATTAAATTGTAAAGTTTTGTAACAGTCTTTTGAATACATTAATAAATTGCAAAGGTTTTTTCCTCCCTCCAACACACTAGTTCAGTCCAGCTGTTTTATTCCATTTTGTGCCCTCCACAAGCAATTCACTGCTTCCAGACGGTTTAAGAAAGATTAAGATTAAAATTAAAATTAGGGATCAGACTAATTAATTTGAGGGTCAAGAGAACTCCTTGTTATAGAAAATTTCGAGTTACATAATACTTAGCAAAACAGTGAAGTTTGAAGTTATTACTGCACACTTAGGTTTTATTTTAGAGAATTTTAGAACTAATTTGTATATATTTTTCTTTGTAGTGCAGATCTCTATTGCCAATCTCAGTCTTTAATAACTATGAGTACTGTATACTGTGAATGCATTTACACCACAGTCACCAGCTGAAATCAACATGGTGTCTCTTGCTTTTGCCAAACTAATATCTAAAGTATTTTTCTCCAGTAAATCTATCTGTACTTATCTGCTCAATTATCTACCAAGTTACTGTATTTAAAATATCTGTTACTGACTTGCAGCAGATGTAAAGAAATTTAATTCCTCACAATCTTTCAAAAGAGGTTTTTCATGAAATTCATGGCATTTTAATAGTTGTTTGCAGGACTCCTTCCTATTATACTTTCTGTTTGCATTGCTATGGAATATAGTACCTTATTCTCTTTAGTCAGTACAAGGTTCACCTGAGATTGAACAAATTCACCTCAAATTGCCTGTTCAAAGACTGGCTTTAAGATGCAAATGAAATTTAGATTTTAGATCCCTTTAAATACATGTGCATCTGTGGCTTTGTTTTCCTTAGTGAGAAATGTGCAGTAGCATGACATTCCACAGTTGCAGTGTAGTTCAGATGACAACTGTGGCTTTCTAGAAGTAGTGGGATGAAAAGTTATGAGTGTAATCTGTAGGCTGAATTTATGTAATTTCTGTAGGGCTCCTTAGGAGCTGGAAGATTCCCTCTTAACAGATCTAATTTCAGTATCTGGCGCAAATAAGGCCATAAAAATGACTCTCATTGATTAATGAATATACCACACATGCTTTTTTCCAAGTTTCAGCCTGACGTAGTCCATAAATTCTCTTGACTAGGCTTTTCTACAGTGATTTCAGATGAATAATAGAGAAAGCTCATGTGTAACCAGGCACATAGCTTAACAATGAATTAAACACATCTTAAATATATCTTCAGTTTTGATTGTATTGTGAGCAAAATAAACCGTATTTTCAACATATTTGCATAAGATTTGTGCTCTGTGAGTTTGTGCCTATATAAAACTACACTAAATCATAATATTTGGCATTGAAGAACTAAAATCCCAGAGAGAAATGAAAAGTAATAGTTCAAAAATAATTGATTTTATTAAGTCATTACTTTTCTAGAAATAGAAGTTCCAAAATTTCAGTATTACCAGGAATGAAATGGATACTACTTGCAAGGCCTACCATATGAAACTGTTCAACTCGTTCAGTACTTGCATGTGAATGATGGGGAATACCTCTGTCTCCTCCTTCCTCAAAAAGATTATATTCCATTTCTCCTTCACGAGTGGTTTACAGTAAATGCATACTCCCTTCCTCCTCCTTTCTGTCAAAATAAGCTGATAGGCAACTGAGGTGCAGATGTTTGCTCCCAATCATAAGAAAGTTGTAGACACTGATCCAGGCTATTTTCTCCACTGTTTGTTCATAGAGGTGAAAGGTGGGGTGAGTGGAGTGTACACTCTTCCTCCTTCTTTTCTGTATAGCTTGGGAAAGCAGAAACTGTGATATATCTTCCAGGAGTTGTGTCAATTGCAGTCTATTAAGTCGAACACTGTGGAAGTTTGTCCAGAATTAAGTTAGTTGGAAGAAGCCGTGATTTAATCATTGCCACCTCACTAGATCAGTATTGATCTGATGAAAGGAACTCTTTCCCAAATTCAGCATTTGTGAATATCACTCTCACTAAACAAACTGATTGTCAAGAGAATATTAGAGAAAACCCAAAAAAACCCTTCTCAGCAAACAAAACAAACAAAACAAAATAAAACAAACAAAACCAAACCAACCAAACCAAAAAGGTATTGGTAGGAAATCAAGGTCAACTTACTTTAAATTCAAGTTACCTGGTAATCAGTTCAGAACAAACCAAAATGATACTTCATGCAGTGTGTGTGATGTGAAGCTCCAGAACTCCCAGCTCCAAATTCTTTAGATATACTAAAGGTTTATATGGATTCAGTGGAGGCTCAGAAACGTCATAAAAAAGAGTCTATGGCTTGTTTAATAAAACACGTGGGTAAGTGATATTGGTAATTGTCATAAATTATAAAAAGGAGAGTATTGAAAACTAAATTAAAAGTTTTAATTATTGAAAATATCTAAAACATGCTCACCTATCTGAGTCATAAGATACAGGTTAAAATAAATCAATGCAACCTGAGTTATAAATACTAGGGGGAAGATCCAAACCTCCTGAGACAGTCAGTGTGAAAGCCACAAGAAAGAATTCGATGAACTTCTGAAGAGTTTCAGTGGTGAGGAAGGGGCTTTTTGGCGCACAAAACCTGAATTTCTGTCCTCACTTTTAAACTCTGACTTGCAACAGACATTCCTTTTCACTGGGGTTCTTGAGTGCCCAGTTGCAGAGCATTAGATCATCAAAGAGCAAAGTTCTGTTGGTGATGCTGCCTTTCATGTCTTTATTGGTGGAGACTGTGAAAGCATCCTCACCAACTGGGCAGGATGTGCTCTGAAAAAGGGGTTGAAGCTTTCTGTTGGAACGGTTAACCAGAGCCATAAGAGTGGCAGGAGGGCAAAAGAAGGGAACGTGATTTTCCAGTGACTGAGGAAGAGGAATACTGGTGAGATGTAGGAGTTTTTTCTAATCTCTGCAGACTGGGAGGGGACTAGCAGTCTCTAAACAAGCCTCCCAACATATGGTCTATTATGCACACTTGCTACTATATAATATAATAAACAATAAAAGTCACAATCATGCTTACTAAGTCATATTATAAATCCTGTAATGTCACTGTAGTTTAAACGTGTAAAGTAAAAGTACTCTTACGAAACTCATTTAAATCTTGTGAAAGGGAAAGAAAATTCTGCACAGACTCAAATGGAAGTATTCTTCTTTTGCATCACAAAACCTGTTTTTTTGTGTGCCTTACTTTCTAGGCTGTCTTTTATAAATCTGTGAACTATCTGGTGTAAATACAATACAAAACCAAATACAGTAAGTTTTCTCTTTTATGAAAGCAGGCAGAAGAGAAAAATAAAGCAAAATTAAAAAAAAAAAAAAAAAAAAAAAAAAAAAAGGGAGTCTTCAGAACCTGGAATATCCTATTAGGGTGCATTTATACCAGAGTGATGTCTGAAACAGAAATTTGTTCATTAAAAAGATTAGACCATTAGGAAGAGCAAGATTCTCTTGTTCAATTTACCTGACTGGTAAATGAAGATTTCGTTGATTTAGTTTAACAACTATTTTATGCTGTCAAATCTGAGCAGTTTTAATGGCTGTATTACATCAATTCATCAACTTATATTATTCAGTAGTGATCAAGAGCGGTTTTTGCTGTAGAATAGATGAAAACAAAATATTATTAGGATTTACATGCCTCAGAGAGAGCAGTGTGAGGTGGCACTGTGCTGTAGAAGGTACCTCTCCAGCACGGTAATTTCGTCTGTGACTTGTTTCGGTCACTGTAAGGCAAAAGGGGGTATTAGGGCAGACTGAAGCCCAAGTTTCTTTTGGTAGCAGAAAAAATGCCTTGACACTATCAATAACTTAAGACTAACATAAACTTCTGATGGCCTCCATCTATGTCTTCAATCCTTGAAAATAAAATTTTAGAGATATGACAGAGTACCTCATGTAACTGTGTCATAGCATTCAACCAAGCGTGAAGCCACACAGCAGAATTCTAATGCATGTTTTACAGCACCTGAACTTCACTTGGGGAAAAAACATTCTCTTGTCTGAAAGGTACTTCACATGCTTTGGAGAACCCTACTGTACAAAATGCAATAGTACTCCACAGATTCTAAAGGAAGAAGCAGGACTCATGTTTAATGACAAGAGCAAAAGACTCTGCTCACAGGTACAAGTGCTCCCTGTGTTGGAGTCTGAGTGTTTTCAGAACTGCTTGTGTACGCCAGAGGCAGTGATGCTCCTCCAAGTGGTCCATGGTTATTAGTAAGAAGCAGCAATTATCCTCTAATGTGATTGAATATGCTCTAAAGAAAATCTCTTGCCCAGAACATTTCAGCTGTATGCTTCTTCCACTGGGAAATACAAAAGTCCTTTCACAAAGAATGGCAGTCCTGTTCTAAAATACTTTACGTTTTGCCATCAACTTTTGCAAAGTAATGTATTCAAGGTCCTCCTAATTTCTCCTATGAACTTTGAGATTTCAGAGTATTCTCAAACAACTTTGCTCAGGGTTCCGTGCTACTTAAAAAAAAAAAAAAAATGCTGTAGCTTTTATTTTTCTTTTTTTTCTTTTCAACTGAAAACGGAGATTTGCACAGAATTCGTTGATTCATGGTTGAGATTTGAATAAAAAGCACCTAATGTCATAAGATTATTGATAAAATAAACCATGTCCTATAGGACCATGGTAGGACCATGGTAGGATGCAATAGGACCATACTAGTCCTATCAGAGCAGTAGCATAAACTGTGTACTAAATCCAGTTTTCAGACTGTTCATTGTAACACTTATTCTT